ACCCAGTTAAGATAAAAATAAACATGTGAAGTTACAGTTATGATGAGACACATTTGAATATTTTAGCATCAGCTAGTAGATTCCTTTTTTATACATTGCCTCTGTAACAGCGAGACGCTAACGAGGTGAAAGCTGCTCATTTTACCAAATTTGTAAAGTGTGATGTTGAAAACATATTTTAGACTTTTTACTGACTTGGACCTCAGATAAAAATCTGTTTGCTTTGACTGACCCGAAACCTTAATTCTGTTTATTTCACCATGTGGCTTTGAGGGACAGGGATGCAGTCTCTCTCCTCCTGGTCTAACATGTAGTGGCTGTGGCTAAAATAAGGCTCCGCCTACCACAAAAAGATCTTTTTAAAAACAACATTAAAAAAGTATTGTTTATACAAGTTGAAATTTAGGGTTTGGGGTCTGGGACACTCCAAATATGAGTACCCTATAAATGATGATTTGTATATGTTTAGCTTATTACTGTCTAATTTATAACCTTAAATTTTAAATAGATCAGAACACAGTCTTTGTAAATAATTAAGATCTGAATACTTTGTTGTTTTTTTAAATATTTTTTTTTACTGTTGGACTGCAGTTTGATCTTTGGTAGAATGGTCCATATGTAAACAATAAAGTGCGTGTTGATTGGAATCAAGTATGCATATTGATGAAGTGGGCGGTGCGGTTCAGATCTCTGGGGAAGTGCTGATAGGTGCTCCTTTTGGGAGGTTTAACAGTCGTATCACAGAAACTTCCTATCTTTTGTCTTAAGTTAAAATCTGACAGGTCAAGGTAAGATTTTTCACAAATCCGTATTACAGAAACAAATCTGATCTAAATATAGGAATCTTATCTTACAGCATCTTATCTCAAGTTAGGAAATCTTAACTTACTCGATTGAAGTTGACAATCAACTCCGTCTCCTCATTATTCACCACCATCACTGTAATATTTCATCATCAACATTAACACACGAAGGTGATCAGAGGGGCGGTGGAGATCGAGTCTGCAGCGTCTGAGATCTTTAAAACGCAGAGTTAGAAAAGAAAATCATCTCACAGTGAAAGCAGCGTTTTACAGTAGAGATAAATGGAGCTCATTATGCTGGTAGTGAACTATGCTGCTGACACAGCTGCCTAAAAACCATAGAAACAGACCTTAAACAGAAGGTAAGACGCTCTGGGGTTGTTTTAAAGTTATGAACCTAAGAACCGTTGTTCTATAGTAGCCTCTGTCCTAAATTCAGTCCTAACTAAAGTTTCATGGTAGCTAAACAGATAAGATAAGATTTCAGACTTAAGACGTTTCTGTAATATGGCCCCAGAACTGTAATCAAAAATCTCTCATTTCACTCCAAATACAATATTTTAACATATCCATTCTTGCATTCCAACCCCAAAATGATGCCCTTAAAATGGTTAGAATAAAATGAAAATCTAGTTGAATTTGTTTCTTATTAAATTCTATTTGTAGGTCTAATGTAAGGTTTGGAAAACTGCTAGGTCTGGCAGTTGTGTTTGTATTGTATTGTATTGTGTTACATTGCACTGTATTTACCAGAGAATGTTATTGTCTAATGCAGTGGTACAGTTTGTCAGTAGTATTAGCACATTCCCAATTTAAAAAATATAAACCTGCAAGCTGGATAAATAGTGGACTTAGTGGACCGAGGTATTGAACTCATAACTTTGTGGTCAATCGCTCACGGCTCTGACCACTCAGCCGACACTGTGCCTAAAAGAGCTGTGCCATGTTTCTGCCAGGTTTCATATTTCAGACCATAGACTATCCTCCAATGTTCAAATAAATCAAACTATCTAGTAAAACTCAGTCTAGGGTGACAGTTGGGTTTAGGTTTTGAGTTGAGATTAAGGTTAGGAGGTTAGGATTAGAGGCAGGATTAGTGTTAACGAATATTAAGGTGAATTTAGTAGTTATTTAGTTGAAGTTAAGTTAAAGGTTAATTAAGTATCTATGGAGATCTAAAGTTGACTATCCAAATCATGTGTTACTGAAGACAGGACTTTAAAGAGTTAATAAAAAAAACACTCCAGAATGGCTGTCAGTGGATGAATGTTGCTGGTCAGATGGTTTAGCTGTAACTCCTCTTTTCCACTATGTCAGTTTGAACTTGCATTAATAGGTGTGAACTCAACAAGTCATAAAACTTCTGGAAAGTGCTGAGTCAGACGCCTGAGTGGCTCACAAACACACACAGATATCATCCCAGCTGGCCTCACCTGCTGAGTTCTCCTGAGGACACCCCCGCTGTCACCATCAACCCACACTTCACACGCTGACGTTCCACATCCATAGCTGCCGTCTCCAGAGACGCACCTTCTCAGCACCGCGATGAAGGCATGTAGCACTGATTTCTTACAGGCTGTGGCAGGATACAAGGTGTTTGGTGAACACCAGCATCACAGTAGAGCTGACTTGGTGCTCTGACTGTCACTACAGGAGGGAAGCCAGAAATTCTCATTAGTCACCTCCTTCTCCTGCTGGACCAGTTTGATAGACTCGACACTGAGTTGAATATCTGAGAGTTTCTTTAAATCAATAGCCTGGCGATCTTGATCTTTCCACCATCGCCCCATGTCAGACATAGCCTCCAAAGATTTATACACTGGAAAACAGTTGCTCTTCTCTTCCATTTCTACTTTTTTGAACAATGGGTACCACTTTCTTTGTCTATGAGCATTTATAAATACATTCATAACATGTTATAATGCTTTCATAATGCTTTATAAGTCAGGTTAATAAGACTTTACATTGTCAGCTCCAAAGAAGCAGCCCCAGCTTGCAAAGTGTAAAGTGAGACAAATTATTTGTGCCATGGCATTTTCAATATTTTATTTTTCACTGTGGGTGTGGTCAGGGCTGCACCTTTGGGGCTTAAGTCCTGAATATTCATGAGCAGACCCATACAAGTTGTCTAGCTCAGAGTTATTACTACATTGCGCTTTCTTTACAACCCCTTAAAATCACAGGCTCATTACATACTAAGGTCTATTATTCAGTAACTACAGGACTTCTTTGCAAACTGGCTGAGCATTTCTCAGGTTATGAAAGTGTGTAATAAAACTTTGGGCCTGCCAGTGAACCCTGGCCCTTAAAGGGGTTAACCACCCCTCCCACTTTAAAAAATTACATTATATCACAGCAATCCCAGTACAGGCTAATCCCCTGAAAACCCTTCTGACATCAGACTGAGCATGAAGTCGTGGAGAGTGAGAGGCATGTTAGTAAAGTGCTGTCATTGCAATTTGCTCCCTCACTGGTTCTAACATTAACCACTGGAAACCTTCACTGTGTGGCATCACTGCACTGCACTACAGTAATTCTGATTTCAGCTCACATTCTGTTGGAAATGTTGTGCTAAGTTAGCACCAAGCTAACAGTGGTGTGGATTGACTTTCCCTTTTTGGCTAAAACACTGCTGATGGCACCTCCAGTTTAAACTCTGACATCTGAAGATTGTAATGTGCTTTAGTTTATACTTTCAGTAAATACTTCAACTTGAAGCCTCACTCTTGATATTGGAGGAACCTCTAGTATAGTATACCTCACTTTACTTAAAGGTGACAAATTCAACTTACAAGCTCTTATGATGCGTTATGAACACTGCTGATAATGCATTATGTTAAAAATGCATAATGCATAATATGCATGGCTATAAGGTTAATGCATTAACAACATTAACCAGTCTGGACCCTCAAACTGAGTTGAGAGAAATACATGGATGTTTTGCTTTCTTTTCATTTATTATTCAATATTGATGGATTTGACCGAGCGCAGTCATGACCTACGACAGGATGGGATTAGTTTGACTAATCAGGTCACTTCAGCTCATTCTGTATTCCACCCTCCCTGTTCTGTTACTGTTGTAAGACTTGTGCTTGACGAATTCTGACTTCTTACTTTCGTCCCACATGTTTCCGATTTGGCCGGCTGATTGTGATATATCACATTCTGGACTCTGGTTGCCGTGCTTGGCTTCTATTTCCTCTCTCAGAATAATCTGAAGGGCATATGTGAGGATTCCTGCACCAAGCTTCATTTGTTGATGTACTTTTTGTCCTCTCATCCAAGTGCCTTTCTACCATGCCTTTAAAAGGCAAACGCTAACTCAACATTGAGACATTGACTCGGTTTAACAGGACTCTGGAAATAACCGTCTAAATGCCTCCCTAAGCTGAACAATCAAATCCGGAATGTGATCCACAAGGGAGATTGTTTAAAGAAATTAAATTTGACGTTACTTTTTTTTCTTTTTTGACACGGTAATCAGTTGAAAGCGTTTCCATTTCAGGAGCCGTGTTCCAAATTCTTCTCCGAAGGAACATTTCACAGTGATTGCGAGTCAAAAAGAGGGCCGGTCCTGGTCTTGCAGCAAATCTGATGCTAAGGTGTGGAATCAGTACAATATGTGGCTGTAAAAACAGAAGAAAAGCCTGCTGTAACAAAATAAGGATGAATGTTTCTTTCCCAAGCAAACAAAACCTCTCAAAGGAATGATCCTGTTCTGAGGTCAGCAGCTCAGTTCAGATAAATCTGTTCATTAACATTTTAAATCAAAGACTAATCCTCAGTCAGCTGTTTACTCAGAGACCTACAATACAAACGCAGGTAAGGATGTGTGGGTAAAACAGCCCTTTAGAACAACGTAAACATTCAACACAGAATGAAGATTCTCAGCAAAGATACCAGATAAAACTGCTTTCATTCATTTCAGCCCTGCGCAGGAAATGAAGGCCAGTTGTCTGAGCAGAATCAAATTTTTGAGTTTGAATGAGCTGAATGGGGTGTAAAGGAACTGTAGACTTGAGAACAGTGTTCCTCTCTTTTCTGGTTGGTGTCAGAAAATGAAAAGTTGATATTGGACTGCGTTTATTAGGCGTCTCCTGTATCACCCAAACTGACATGATTTATTCATGCTTTGACATTTACCGGTTGCCACAAGATCCAAATCTCACTGTCCGTTTTTTCTGCTCTGTTCTTCAGGAAATGTTCGAGGCGCTGTTCCTCGCATACGATGACTGTGTGACGTTCCAGCTGTTCAAGAGCTTCCGCCGCGTGCGCATCAACTTCAGCAACCCCAAAGCAGCAGCCAGCGCCAGGATAGAGCTGCATGAAACGCCCTTCAGGGGAAAGAAGCTCAAACTCTACTTTGCCCAGGTGAGGAAGGCAAGGTCTCGTTTTTAAGTCCTGACAAATGAACTTCTCTCCAACATTGTCAGAACATTGTAGGAGTAAACAAACAGGAATCATCCCAGAACATTACAGAAATCAGTTGAATTGGGTTTAGGGTTTGACTATGATGCTCTTAAAACGAGGTGCTAGAATTATGTGGCGGAAAGAACTCAAATTTCTAGGATTGTAAGAGTTCTGCGTTCAAACGTCCATAATGTACAGCGTAAAAATGCGTCGTGACGTTGTGATTATGCGGTGCAAACATCCGACAGTGCATCATGGAGAATAAACGATCCAATGTAAATCACTGTTTAAAAAGCAAAGTTTGAAAATCATCCACACCAATCAGCTCAGTCCAGCAGTCATCCTGCCTCCCAGCTCTACTGTCACCAGTAAGTTGTGCTACAACATGATTATAGTCCTCATGTTTCTCTTTTGAGTTTTGTTGAAATGATCATGAAAATACTGTCCATTGTTTTTAACAGTGTGAATGACAGAATGAATGAAAGGGAGATTAACTGTTGTGCAGTGAGGTAATCACTGCCTTACTCAGCATGATGCGCTGATGTTACACTGCCAGATTTGTACATTTTTGTTTTATTTAAAACAGAAGTGTCAAGCTGGGTTCCTTCTGGATCACAGCTCTGCAGAAATTAGTGTTTTCCCATCTTCTTAATCTCTAAATTCAGTTGATGAATTATCTGATCATCAGGTGTATTTAGTGAGACGTCTGCAGTGCTGAGGCCAGAATCAAATATGACAAACACACCAGGAATTTGTTTTGACAGTGTGATTTATGGCACCCATACATACACAAGAGTGTACAGTACATGTACATCTAACATTCAGCTAAAACTAGAACATAAAACATACACAGAATAAACTGACTATTTTACTGAATTAGTTCAAACTGCAGCCCCACAGTTCAAAATAATTCAATTTAAAATAACAAATATTAGATATTTACAGATTTATGTTAATTTATTTAAACCCAAGGCATTAATTGAGATATATATATTTAAAAAATCATTCATTGGGTACCTTGTATTGGGAAAGTGGTTGTCCCAAACCCAAAACCCTAAATTTCTTGAAACTTGGAAGTAATTCACTTGAAAATAATACTTACATTTTTTGCATTTTTCAATTTTTTTTTAAAGATATTTTTGATTTCTTTTAAAGTTTAAAGAATGAAAGAATCAGATTGAATTTTTAAATAAAAAAAAACTTTATTTATAAAATGCTGTCCCACATTTTCATGTCATTTCTGCAAAATATAGTTTTAGTCTGTATATGGCACCTTATTTTAGCCACACCTCTGCATCCCTGTCCCTCATGGCCACATGGTGAGAAGTTAGATCCCTCTGTTTTGAAATAAATGTGTTTCAAAGTCTGAGTGTAACTTAAAGAATTTCTGCCATAAAGTAAATTTTCTTAGTGTTTTAATGAAAAATATTATAATATTATGTGTATAAAACTGTTCAAAGTTGTGTTTGCCAGTCATGAACTGGCTTTCATTTTTGAGTTATGTTCAAAATTAGGTTATATTTTAAATTTAGGTAATAAATGTGTTTTCGGCTCAGATTTTAAACCAGTTCAGTAGCCTGTTATAGACTATATACACATAAAGAGCATTTTACACCAGTACTTCCTGACGCTAACGTTGTATGTGATTCTGTCCGCTGTGAAACAGCTGTGAAACACGTCTAACTTCTGAAACCCATTCGTTCAGGTGCAGAATCCAGTGTCTGATGGGGACAACCTGCACCTTGCCCCTCCGCAGCCCTCCAAACAGTTCCTTATCTCGCCTCCTGGCTCACCGCCTGTTGGCTGGCAACAAATAGATGAAGCCACACCGGTCATCAATTACGACCTGCTGTACGCTGTAGCCAAGCTGGGACCAGGTTAGTTTGTGTTTTTAATGTTATATTTATTACTGACATTTCCACCTCATTGACAGATCGACAAAAATTTTGAACAGAGGAAAAAGTGAGACAAAATAAATACATAAAATAAGGGAAGAGAGCAGTCGGTCAGTTACAGTTTAAACGTCCTGTTACAGACCATGTTCTGTGTGTTCAGACGATAAAGAAAAGTAACTAAATCCCCAGGTAAGAAAGGTTATTCAGTCCTTTGCTAAGCTGTAAAAATAGCCTGTTTTGATTTGTTTTTGTGATGTCATGAAAAATCAGCACAATTTCATATCTATCTATTCACCCTAAAGCAGTTTAGCTCCTCCTATTCATGTTGAAGTTATAACTTCAGAGGGTCAGCCTTGTGACCAGAAGGTCGCCGGTTTGATCCCCTGAGCCCCCAGTGCATGACTGAAGTGTCCTTGAGCAAGACACCTAACCCCCAACTGCTCCCCGGGCGCCGTGGATAGGGCTCACGATCCTGTCCACTGTCCTATCTATGTGTGTGTTCACTAGTGTGTATGTGGTGCTTCACTGCACGGATGGGTTAAAATGTGGGTGAAGTTTCCCTGTTGTGGGACTAATAAGTACCGCTAAATCAGAACCAGGAAATGGCTAACAGGCTAATAGCAACATTCGCACCACCCACCAAAAACATGCTAGCTAAGCTAACGCTAACCAGCTAGCTAGTTATCAGCCCCGTTTAACATTTAGAAATTGGTGTTAGATTGAAGCTTTGATGTTTATTGAATGACCGTGCCAAGCAAACCGGGCTCAGCCTGGTCTTTAAGCGTTCCATGGCAAACTGGGTCCATGTGGAAACGGCACTGGAACAGTTACCCTCTGGGCTCAGAACCGTTCGGCCCTGCAGTGGAAAAGAGGCCAAAATAAAATACAAGAAAAATGTATGATACGAGCCGTTTAAGAGGTCTTTGCTCTTTTTTTGATGTTCACAGACGTGTTTCCTTCCATTAGTCTCAGGAGTTCACAAAAATATTAAAGCGTGAGGAACATTCATTCTAGAAGGTCGAGATTTATGGTATCCATAGGGCTAAAAGGTTTTCCAGTTTAGCAAAACGAGCATCTAGTAACCATCTAGTAACCCTGTGGAGCTGACTGGAGTTGGACAGCACTACAGAGTGCAGTGATGAGTGTGAGACTATTCTGTAGGTTTGTTTAGCTCATATTGTGCTGAAGAATAAGAATGAAGGTCAGGAGGGTCTTTGTCATTAAATAAAATCATTCGTCTCTGTCCTTGTAGCTCAGTTACACTCACTGTAATCCTTCGTCAGCCTTGGAACCAACAGTTTAAAGTTTTCTCTTTTCAGAATGTGCTAATATCATGAACCGTGAGGAGATAACTCGCTAGTAGGAACCATGTATCTCATACTAATTGGCTTCTGTGTATTTGTGTATTATTAGCAAGCATTTTTCCAGGACTTTTTTTTAGCGGTACCAAAGAATTTATAAACACATCCAAGCCTGTGTGGAACCTTTTTCTCTGATTAGGTTACTGGTTACTAGAACCTTTCTGCTGTGACCCTCTTCACCTGGCCTTCAGGCACCGTATGTCCATGATCCACTTCGTAATTTCATCCTCTCAAATTGCCCTCTCCCCTGCAATGCAGATGATTGCACCCACCACCCAGCCTGCAATCAATGTTCCCTCGTCCTCTGCTGACCTTCAGCCGCGGGTTAGTGCAGTAGCTGCTCTGCCTGCCCACTGATGAGGTTTTAAACGCTGCTTGTACTAGGAAAGCCATGCTGTACTGTGGTTACACTACAGGAGCTCTGTGAGCGGCCCCTCTGGGAAGCATCCACCATCTCTAAGATGATAAGACCCTCTGTGTGTGGGGGCTGCTCAGGTGTGACTGACAGAGAAGAATCAGATATTCATGTTACCGTAGCATTTCTCACACTGGACTGCCCTTTATTCATTAAAGCATCTGTGAAGTCAAGTGAAAATTATGAACGACATGTAAATGATGCTAAAGATATATGACTTAACCATTGTTTGATTTGAGAAAACAAACATAATTCAGAGTTGAAAGCTAGAAAAACATAACTGATTAGGACTGTGTGAGTGTTTCACTATATGAGACTGTTTTCCTTGTTTTTTATTCTTTATACTCAAGAATTTGATTGCATATGAAAATAAAGAATAAAGGGAAAAGAGTAATAACAGAAAATAAAATTGAAAACAATACAGTCTACAAAATGCTAAAGACACTAGTTTGCTTGCTGATAATAAATCTCAGGCTAAACTAAGAGGCCGTGGTTTGTGTTGGGCGGGGCTATGGCAGGGGTGGATGTTGAAATCTGCCCGAATTCTAATTGTATAAGGAAAAAAATCTGCCTCTTGCAACATAGTTATGGCAACTCAAGTCCAACAGAGTTAATACAAAAGTGCAAGAATCTCTCAATCAAAATGACCAACGTCTTTATTTGACGGTCAGTTGTAAATTCATGCAGGACTCAGCAAAAATAGCCTAAATAAATAACATCAACAGCCTTTTTACCAACAAAAAACATCAGGCAGTTTTTTCTTCACATGTCCCTTCATTTATTATAAGACATTTGGCTGAAACAAACTACAGGAAATGCCCCGAAGTTTGTCGACATCTTCTTAAGGGTGTTATTAGGGAACCTGCTACAGCCTCTTCTCTTCTGAGAAGGCTTTACGCTAGATATTGGATTTGATTGCATTCAGCCACAATAGCATTAGTGGGGTCAGGCTCTGATGTTGGGTGATCAGTTCTCGATCACAGGTGATGCTCCATCCCTTCAGAACGTAGTTCTGCTGCTCCAGAGCCCAGTGAGCAAGGGCCGTCCTTCTCACCCAGAGAGCCCGAGGCCAGTAATTCTCTCTTAGACTCCCGGCTGGTGATGTACTGGCTAGCGTTTTTGAGTTATGCTGAACATCAGCTAAAATTGTCACTACCAAAACATCTGGTAGAGTTTCAGTTGTGTTATGATTGTTTTGGCAGTGACAAGTTCAGTCATTTATTTTAAGCAAATAAACATAGGGTATAGGGTCACTAAAGCAACAGGATTTTGGTCAGAGGTCGAAATCAGTTCAAAGTCTGAAATGGGTTTTCAACTCTGAATTCGATAGAATGGCCAGTGTAGAGAAATCAGAACACTTAATCTGTCTGGTCAACCTTTTACCACCACCCTTTCATTCTTTTAGGGACATGATGAGCCGCCACTGCTAAATATGAAGCACAATTCAGAGAGAAAAGGGAAAGATTCTGAAAGCCATGGCAGCGGCCATGCCTCACCATGTCAACCATGCATAATGTATCAGGAGCAGGCCACCTGCCATCATTGTCTCTCCCGCTGCAGTTTATTATTCTCATCTTCACCGGCAGCGTTGGCAGGGTCTGCCACGGAGGTCTCATATAAAGCATGCAGACAGCCTGACGCTCAGCTCTGATGCCCAATAACGGCGTAGACTCAGGCTGACGCTGCCGTCCTGTCTGTCTGTTTGAAAAACCACGCTCTGCCAGTGATGTTTGCCAAGACTCCTTTCTTTGCATTGACTGTATTTATTTGATAAGCTGAGAAGGTTTCAGTCAGTTACGCTTGCAGATGTTCCATCTAGCCACAGAGCATCATTTACCCCCCCCACCCCCCCCCCACACACACCCACACAAGAGCGTTTTGCAGTTTCTCAAAAACATGCTGAAATTTGCAGAGATTACATCGCCAGGCCAGATCCATCTGCTTCGCCTGGCAAGAGCGTCCTCCTCCCATCTCACACAGCTGCTCTACACGTTCAGGCCATCTTGCTTCGTTTTTGCACTTGAGCAGCTGATTGCGCGATTAGTGTTAGTTTGGCACAGAATGATCTCATGGTTCTCAGCTAGCGAGATAGCTATAGCTCATTACACTGACACCTCCCGCACACACACACACACACACACACACACACACACACACACACACGCTGAGAGACACGTCTTCTTGCTCTTTTTTTAGCAGCCAGAGTAAAAGGCGTTTGGGATTACATTAAATATTTGAATTATGCAATAGTGTTTGGTATTATAGACACTCAGCCATCAAATCCCATGGGATCACTTCCTAAATCCCATGAAAACATCCTCTGAAATATCTCTCTCTCTCTCGCTCTCTCTCTCTCTCTCTCTCTCTCTGAGTCTCATGATCCACATAGAATCCTGTTTAAACCCGATATTGTATTGTGTATCCATATATAATTAGTAATGGTTCACCTGACTGAAAACAGACTTAAGTCAATTTAAATTTAAATGTAGTAAACTTACGGAACTGAGTTCTGGGCTCTGGAGTGATACGACATGATTAAATAGTATGTTAGTCGGTTATCGGTTAGTTTGGTGTTTGTTATCCAAAATTAATCATCTAACATCACTACCTGACTTCACTAATGCTGTTGTGGCTGAATTCAGTCAAGTCCTCACAGCAGTGTTCCCACATCTAATGTAAAGCCTTCCCAGAAGAGTAGAGGCTGTTCTAGCGGTAAAGCTGGGACAAACTCCCTATTAACACTCTGGATTGCACAAGAAATGTTGGTCATACAGTGGTTTATTATAACTATGAAACAACATGGATTAAGTTCCCAAGAGAGAGAATTTAAAATGCTCCTGTCTGTTGTTTCTGTCTTTTGTTTAATCTGTACACAAGATGACCCAGCTGACCTAAGCCTGCTCCGAATGTATCTTGATATTTCTGAAAAAAAAATTCCCTCTGTGTTAAAAATCTGTTTTTGAGAAATCTCTAGGGCTGTGAATGGACGGATTAAGAAAAAGAAGAATGACAAACAAGGAGGAATCGTGTCTGGACTGAGGGTGTAATAATACAGTAAATTATTAAGTGTACAAACTCGATTTGATGAAACGTCAGCCAGTCGAGTCCTGACGCCTTGCACAACAAAGTAGAACCGCAGCGACGGTGCTCATGATGATGCTGTGAGGTCAGGATTTAAAAAAAAAATATGTTTCACTCGTTCACGC